CATAATATTCAATAGCTAAGTTTAGTGGGTTTAGCATGCTAAAATTTGCTAATTAGCACTAAACCCAATGTCATCAGTTTTGCAGGTGGTCAAAAACCAAAGAATTGGATAAATTAAATTTACCTGATGATAGCACTACACGAAAAGTCATTACAATTCATCCTTTAGACTTCAAATATCTGTAGCAAAATGTATGGCAATCCATGTAATAGTTGTCAAGATATTTCTCTCTGAACCACAACTGTTAATCTCATGGTGGTGCTAAACATGGGGAGGGATCAGTATGAGGCACCAAGTGTAAAATGGTGCACAATAAAATTAACAGCAACATTTTGCCTCATTTAACATTTACAACAGTGGTATGAATTTTTTAAGTAACTTTTTTACCAGATTTACAGCAACATTTGTGAACCTTGTCATGTTTATTTTTCTTGTAAAAATATATTAAATTTAATGTCATACTTTTGGGTTTTAGACAGTCTAGGGTTTTAGACAATAGGTTGGACAAATAAATAAAATTGTAGACATCATCATGGTAACGGAACTTATGATGGGCATTTTTCACTATTATTAAAAAACACCATCAACAAATTAAACAATAATTAAATAAACGACAGCAGTTATTTTTTACTGATGGTCAAATGGCAGTTACAAATATACAGTTCTAAATAGACCATCCTTATTGCAGTACATAATTTCATTTCCATTTGGGAGACATTAGCATTTGCCATTTAGCTTATCCCCTTTAACATACAGATGAGCTAGTGGTTGTTGTGGTTTGACCCTTAGGCTCAGATAAAATGAGCTTGTCTTATTTAAAATATCTGACCTCTGTCCCTTTCTCTTCTCTGAGAGTCTGAGGTGGCTTTATGACTAAGCTTGTCCTCTTGTTTTAACATAGGTGTGTCTTTTTAACTCCTTTAATCAGAATGATAGCGTGAACAGGAATGGTTTGACAGGCCTGTGTAGGAGGAGGCTACAAACAATGTGTCTGTAGGACGTCCGTAGCCCTGAGCTATAAAGTCTCTTAAGTATTTACCTTCATACTGTGACCAGTGTTGCCTACTGGGACACATGACTCCCTCCTGCTTTTCAACATCCTCTATTGTCCTTCTCTGCAGAACGTGACACGACTGGTCCAACAGTGGCATGTGATCTGTTGGGCTTGTGACCCCCTGACCCTTAGAGAATGAAATTATCATGATCAAGTCGTAAACACGTCTTATTTTATAATATTAATCTCTGCTGTTACATTAACTGTTTATTTGCATTGAGGGAAAATTACCCTGAAGCTATGCACTGCATGTAGCAAAAGCAGCCTAAAAAGCACAGCTTACAAAACTGTACCAGTAACTGAAAATGTGGAAGCTGGCGTAAATTCCTAAAGAGGATGTGGCCGAATGCTTTTCAAAATCATTTCGTCATTGTACTGTCGGTGGCACCTTCTAAACTCCAAACTGGACTGCTCTCAAATGGGTTTCCTTCCTCTGCTACCCCTCACTGAGGGTGGAGAGGTGGAGCAGGGGCGGGAGGGACCTTCAGAGATTCCCCTGTGCGTTGGACTTGAAAGTTTCTGTCTCTGTGAACTTAACATCAAACGGTCATGGGCTGCTGCTGGCTCTTTGAAGTGGCAGAGGGGGGGTATCAGACCTGAATACAGGCCTCTGCCTCAACATGTTCCGGTTCAAAACGGACTTCGCCGCAGTACAAAAACAGCTCAGCTAAAGGTCTTCTGAGAATGGCACAAGATCAAGGCTATGGACTTATCTCTCTGTTACCATTCCTGTCACATAATGAATGCTCTAAAGAATCACTATAGTGTCATGCTACACACGGTTATTGAACTTCCTCTCTCACACCTCTCTTCAAGACTCAAATTTGTGTTTTTTATAGAAAAGCCATCTGGGTTTGATGTCTTTCAGGCCTAAAATGTCAAAAAAAGAAACTATCACAACTACTACTGCGACTTCAGCAACATTTACTACCTCTCCTACTAGCTAATGCTGCTATAATAGTGGCATTACTGCTATTGCTAATACATCCGCTGGCTACTTTAAGTCAAATGTCAGTCCTAAAGTATATAATTAGTAACGTAGCATACTTCATAAGCAGTGAAAACAGGAAATCTGTGGAGCTTATTTGCAGTAAATGTGCTTTTAGCAATATAGGGTGTTGTGGCTTTACCATCACATGTTGGCAATTTCTAGTTTTTCCACTGCAAACCATCTAATTACATTCACTTTCACTATCTCTTGCTTTGTTTCTGCGTCAATTGCTATGAGGAAGACCACTGTAGATTACAATATAGACCATACCTAATGTACTATATCAACAAAATATCCACACAATTTTAACGCATTTATATTCACTTATTAAATTTTACACTGTAATGCAACTTTTGAGCAACCTTTTTCACATCTCAAACCAATTTTTGAGCCCCATTTATAATTGCTCATGTAGATTTACATCAGTTGCCTACTTCAAGTAAAATATCAGTACAGTAACAGTACTACTAATTCTACCAATACTATAATGCTGCTATAACTGCTTGTACCGACCACCTCTACTAGTATGCTATTGCTTCTACTTCTCATGGCACTATTACTTCTGCTGCTAATAGCCCTGTTACATTGTAATTACTAATGGATAAAAATACATCAAACTCGGACTGTATATAAAACATACTGTATTTAAAATAACATACTAATCTGTGAAATCAGTTTCACCTGGTCACATTTGAATATCTGTAGGCTATTTATTTGTTGTCTTTTACCCTGCATCTATAACAGAAGGTGTTCCATGGACGGGCACAAGGACCATGCGGTCTCCTCAGACAGAAGGGGGCTGGGCTCTCGTTTTCCCATACACCACCATCTACTGACATTGGCCGCTGCTCCACATTAAACACCCCGCATTCATAAAAAAGAAAAAAGGAAAAGAGGAACCATCTGACAAGAGCAGCATCCACTGGTAGCTGCCTCACTGTTTACTGCACTCAGCATATCGCCCGAGGAGAAGCCGCACAAACTAGGAGGAAAAAATGGCCAAAAGTGAGAGGCAAAGAGGAAGTTTGAAGAGTGAGGAGTTCTTCTTTGATTCCGAGGCGTCTCTCTTGGATCAGCAAGATTTCGAGATGTCTAGTTGCCCTTTCAATGACGTCTTCAATTCCAAAGACTCCCACATGGAGCAGATCAACACTTTTCTGAAAAATGTACAAGTTTTGCTGGAGGCTGCTCGGTTTCTTGAGAGCTCCGAGCGGAAGGACGGAAGTGAGTTTATTTGTGCAGCGTTTGATCCTTTTCATTTGCCTCTGCTGAATTTCAGGAAAACAAGACTTCATTGTCAATAGACTCAGACAACAAAGGGCTGAGTTCATTCAACTAAGCACCACTGCCTGCTATGAGCACAGCCTGTACCTGCACCAGACTAATATGAGTGATGTAGCCTACTCGTTGCAGTTATAGGAGAGTGTAAACATTTAGTGTTTCAGGATTTTCTGGACTGTTTTTTTACCTGCAATCTCTGCATGTTGGGTACTCGGCTTTATTGCGCCTGCACAACTCTCATCCGAGGAATCTCGAATTTCATCCTACAGCATAGATAAAGCAATGTGATATAATGATTGGGTGTGTGGGTGTGCAGTTTGGCTACCACGACATGATAAATCTGACCACATTGCAGCGCCCTCCAACTCAGTTTAGGATGATGTCATTGTGTCCCCGCTGACTCGATCGAAAAAACACTAACTTTATATATAGAACGCAGGGGGAACATCTGAATGGCGAATTGGACATTTATAAAGCATAGAAATGTCTGCCCTGGCTGTGTAATTTGCTTGTTTTTCAATTTTAGCTTATGAGGAATTAGGCAACTCGAGATAGGGTTATTGCAGATAGCATGGCCTCTCAGATTGCAAATAGACCCAGGCCCATTTATTATGTAATGCCAGATATTTTTTAATAAAAGGTATATTAAAAACGACGTTCATTTTAACAAGTCATGATTTAAAAACATTGTTTTCCAGTCGCTTCCGTGTGCGTCTGTCCGTGCAGAGCTGTTTTGTGCAGGAAAGCCGAGCATATGTGCTGATGCGCGTTGCAAAAGTCCTTTGAGTAATATCACCTAGCTATTATAATGTAACGTGGGAACAGTGCAGCAGCAGATCTCCGCGGCGCACCTCTGCTCTCGGTTGTTTGCTTCCTGCTATTTGTGGGCGTGTCGCGCTGGCTTCCACATGGCGCAAAGCTCCTCTGCGGTTGGTCAGGTGCGAGCTCAACCCTCGACGCCTGTCAAAGCCATCCGCCAATCAGACGCCCCTTCGGTAGGGACGTCATGTGTTGCTGGGCCTGGCTTCATTCAGGGAGTACACCCCCACGGTCCGGGTGAACCATGGGATTTGTAGGGTTTATTTTGTTTGTTTTGCGGCGAGATGACACTCGGAAGATTGACTGTGAAGGGAATACATGACACACAATGAGTAGTGATGTTTACTCATTAATGTGTCAGATAACCGCTTCAATCGATCCATTAATGATTGATGGCCCAAATTAGTTGAGATTGGCTGCAAAAAACGACATTTGAACAATTCTCAGGCAGTAGGCTATGGGCCTGAGATCTAAAATGACGGTGCATGTTTCATTATTTTCATTTATTCCTACATTGTCATCAGTAGCAGCAAGAAACTCGATTAAACTTAGCAATAATAATAAACACCATCATTATCTACACATCATCTGTGTTCACCTGTGGACTGCACTGTTCCACACATGTATATGTTACTCATTACGCTGGCCTGTCATAAGTACAGTTGAAGCATAACATAATAACCGACGACGTTTGCCGTGATAAATCACAGTAGAGGCTGGTTAAATTGTGAAAATAATGAATATTGTTCATGTTTGACTGCTTTTTATAAATGCATCGAAAGACTCGGGTTCCCAGCATGCCTCGCGTTTAGACCGGCCTCTCTTCCGCTGTCTCCGCCTCTCAGCTGTGCAGCTAGGTAAACAAACAGGACAGGAGAGGGAACGGGCAGCAGCAGGCACTTTGCTGGCTCTGGCCTCCCTCGGGGAACTTTTATATAGTTTATATACATTTTTGTAAACATTTAATATCGTGTTTCCTACGGACTTTTAATACTTTGATACACTGGTTTTGACATTTTCTAACAACGAAACCTGGCAAGGATTGGCTGGAGCTTGCCAGCAAATTTCCCCCCTTCTTCTTTCGACAAAGGCTGCCGATGAGCCAGCGAAGACACCGAGCACGATAACAACGTTTTTTTAAAAAATTAGCATTCAGCATAGTGGCAACAAATGTACTGTCTTCCCTGTTTTTAAACAGCGGCCTTTCGTTGCTGCTGCTCAAAGCTAACATCACGTTAAACTGAAGACAGCATAGCTGACGCCAGCCTCAGGGAACCATGACGGCTGTTCAGCTAATCAATATCCAACGGTTATTGGAAGCTGCGGAATATCTAGAAAGGAGAGAACGAGGTAAATAGGCTATATGTTGAAATGTGTGTTAAGCTGAGACACAAGTGACAGCGCTAACATCTGCCCTGTTTACTGCTGTTCAAATAGTAAACGGTCAGTACTGTTTTCGCAATGAACACCAAAAAAGGAAGTGCTGCCAGCTAATTTTACCCGTGCACTGCAGAGAGTCACTCACGTTTTACCTGTACGTCAACCTTAGGTCTGTGGCGGAGGGATGACAGAAAGAAAGTGTCTAAACTCCACTAACTGTTAACCACATTTATCTTTCTTTCAACAGAGTGTGAACACGGATATGCTTCGACGTTTCCGTCAAATCAGAACACAAACTACCAGAGGCAAAGGAAATTCCGAAATAAGAAGTTCAGCAGTAACCACAACAGGTAAGAAACTGCTCCCTCTTTCATGGTGCGGTCCCCGGTGAACTGTGGGGACTGTTAACGCTGCATACTGGTAGATAGACGTTCAGCTTGTAAACTGTCCTTTACATGTGGTTATACACTCGCTGACAGGGCTTTGTTGCAACGTTTGGCAGACAAGCGAGCTGTCACCAAAGGGTGAATGCTGTTGCGAGCATATCCATATCTATAAAAAAAAAAGATGTTCCCTAAACGTGTAGGAACGTGTTTAATGCATACGTGCACGTGACCGTCCATACCGCTGTTTTGTTGGCTTGTGGGGAGGGGGTTTAGCGCGCTAACAGCTCTGCGAGCTTTTCATCAGCTGATTGTCAAATGGACTGCAGTGGCCGTGTTTAGGGATCGTGGTGAAAGTGACGTCTGTAAAACGGGAAAAGTCATTTGTGTTTCCCATTCCTCAACCCCCTGCTTAAATTATCCCATAGGCCTTTGCTCTATTTTAATGTGAGTTATTGTTGTAGGTTTTGGTGGTAGTCAAGCTCATTTGTTTCTAAAGCTCAATGTCTTCTACACTGTGGGAGAGAGGGATATTTTTTTTTAGTCTTTTGCCCTAAGGGGGAAAACAGCTATTTATGGATGGTGTTCTTTGCAGACATCCAAAGGTGAATATATCGAGATTTGTTCTGCACTAATGATGTTTAAAGTAATCTTTATGCTCTGTTTCACCTTAATATATGTCATAAACAATTATAGTTTATAGAACAGACTACTAAACATATGTTCCACGACACACATCAAGCTTTTGATGTGTGTTGTGGAACATGTAGGCCTAATCTATTCTATTGTTTATCTGGATGCAACACCGTCTGATAATCACATCAGTTGCTGCTTCAAAGATTAAGGCACTTGTCAAGCACAATGCTTTCACTGATGACAGAAACTTGCATTTAGTAGTTGGAGAAGCCCAAGTTAAGAGCCACTGGCATTGTGTTTTTTTCTTGGTTCTAGGCTGCTTATATTAAGCTGTCCATTGACAGTCATACATCAAACGCAAGCCCCTCTCTTTCTCTTGCTCTCTCTCTCTGAGCCTTTTAATATTAATGCAAGAGCGGGCCACAAACAGGAACTGCGCATTACTCATGAGCGCAGAACGCTGCCTACTTCTGCATGGCAACAGTCATGATCAGATATAGGTCTGAGGCCGTGTTCATAAAGCTTTCCAAAGAGTTAGTCCTAACGGGGACATTCTTTGTGATTACATAGAATAATGATGTTTCAGAACAATGTCATATTTACTGTAAAATGAAATCCTCTGAAAAGCTTTTCACAAAACATCTTGGCCCTTAATACAGCTCTTTAGGAGTTGGAGGGTGCACTTTAGACAGATTTTCACAAGCCTGAGAAAAAACTACACCAATGGTCCTGCTGTCTACAGAGACATGTTCACAACTCACACAGTGAAGTAACACCATTTACCATTTAACGCCATTTCTCAGCCTCATGTTGTGATGCAGTCTAGTTCATTCCCACTGGAATAGCACACCTTTCCAACCATCAAAACAGTATTCTTTTAATTTCCCTAGTGCTGTCAGGCTCACAGATAGGCACTTTTATTCAACAGTCTTATTTATTTCCTGCCCGCATAGGTGAGAGAAATCTTGCAAATAAGTCAATGTTGTAAGCCATTTTCGACACCTCGCCATGACAGATTACAGTGTCCACATGAGTAAGGGCTCCATCCATCAGAATACAGAATAAATGTAACAGTGCATTTTCTTTAAACACATTTTGCTTTCCGGCACGAGTTTGCTCTATAGCTACCTTCTCTGTAGCGCATTGAGGCTTAAAGTGAAGGGCTTATCTTGACTCTGTCCTCTCTTTACCTACTGTTTATAGTAGGGCTGCTTTATCTCATTGACCCACTCTGCATATACATGCACACACGCATACACATTACGTGTACATGTCTACAGAAGGCGCTATGCCGCAATGATGTGCGGCCTCCAGCCAGTTTATAATCTGTATTGCATTGTTGTTGAGCTCCAGACACACATAAATCTGATTTGGGAGACAGGGAAAAGGGTTTGTGATGATAAAATCCTAAAGCGAGTGGACACAGATCGGACATAGATTGATCTCTCTGAATGAGAGGCCATACTAAGATTGTGTGTGTGTGTGTGTGTGTGTGTGATTGTGGGGTGCTTGGACCAGGGCATGTGTTATTTTTAAAGTAACAGACAGTGTATATAACATCAGTAATGCCCTAAAATGTGTGTATTATCACTAGCTTTTCAAATTTGGATGTTTTTTGATATCATCATTAATATTTCTATTATATTTAATTTATGCTCAGATAGAGATGAGGGTTTCCAAGCAACACAAACACAGCGCAAGCACAGTGACAGCTGATGACGCAAATTATGCACTCCAAAGTGTTCATTTTCTGTTAGCAAAACTATGGCTCTGACTCACAAACGGTTACAGAAATCAGTGGATCCACTGCCATTAGAGAGTAATTATATATGTATGCCTGCATTGAACAGAAGACATGACTATTAATTTTCCCTATAGAGAAGTTATTTTAGAACTTTAAGCCCATTTTTAAGATGACATGTATGAGGGTGGTAGTAGTCAAAACAGAAGAGATCAAGCTGGTTTACATTCCTCAGTTTTTGTAAATTTATTTTTAAAATTGCAGTGCACAGCCATGCAGGACTACTGCAGGGTTGTAGAATATGTAAGTTGAAACCTGTCAAGAGCAGACGTGTGAGCACTTAGTCTCTCACAGGTTTTCAGGAAATGGCCCAGACCAAGCTTACATGTGAACCCTGTGTTTTGCTGTGATAGCAGCCACTCAATCTGTCCATAGACCTTGTCAATCAAATACTGTATACTGCCACAGTCTTGCATACCCAACTAAGTGAACAATTATGTAGTCAAATAGAGACATGGTGTTTCTAGTGGTGTAAATAATTCAACTTAAAATAATTTCCTCTGAGGCAGGGACAATTTTTACAGACTGAACTGCAGCCTTGGACAGTTGGAAGTCCCTCTGCCTTATCCCTCTCTACCTCCTTTCTCCCCCATTTTCTTATCTCCTCTATTTCCTTCCGTATTAACAAGATGGCAGTCTTGTCAGCAGAGCTAAAAACAGACCAGGAAAGCGTTTTGCAGTATTGATAACCCACAATATAGAGAAGTGCCGTGTACATGACTCAGGAGAGGTTGAGCACATCATCCCCCCCCCCCCTAAAAAACGATGCCCCTTGAGGCGAGGTGGAGTGCAGTTTGTGTGGATGAGAACTTGGCCATTTAAGCGTCAGGAGGAGGGCTTGTCTCCCTTCAGTATGTTGCCACACAAAGAGACTCTTAGGAACTAGCTGATTCACTTTACATTATTAACAGAGCACTGAACACTGACTGCTGCCTGCACGGGGTGCGTATGTTTGTGTGTTCGTTCGTGCTCATTGCTCACACTTAACAACAGCACATGCGTACACACACTCACTTGTGCACAGTGTGAACTTTGGTGAGCAAAGGGGACTGCAGTGTCACACACACACAGAAATACACACGCACAGACTCCCAGAGTTGTGCTGTGCATTATTGAGGAAGAGGCCACAGGGAATGCCTGGCTGTCACAATGACGTTTGTTGGTGTAAAGACTCCAGTGTACTGGGCACTAGAGTTGGTCTCGTTTGGGATTAATATATATATATATATATATATATAAATCATATAGTTATTATGCATTTCCCTTACACGACAAACTGTACAAATCCACCTCTGTTCTTTGCATGTTGAGTATGCAAAAGTCTATATTTGCTCTTCATGTGACCAACACTCTTTTCTGTCTTTGCAGGTCCACACATAATGAGCTGGAGAAGAACAGGTGAGTTGGCATTAGATTGAAAAAAAGTCCTCTTTAAATCACAGAACACACACCCTGTGACATGTAAACAAGCCCATCATGTCCTACTTTCATTTTGCTTCTTCAAGTAAGCAGGTCCACGTCAACAGTTCCTTAAAACCAAAAGCAAGGGGTGAACCAGTTGTGGGTTTAGGACGTTCCTTACTCTCTTTTCATCCCCCTGTTCCCCCCTCTCGTGCACATAGTCTTTGCACCTTTTTAGGTTATGCAACAGTTTGGTTGCTGTGCTAAGGCCTTTCAGTTACATGGGCAGGCGAGGGTGCACACAGGCTGATCTGGGAGTCAAAAGTTCAGTTGTTTTGATGCAAAGCTCATTTTTGATTGGTATGTCGTAGTGGCAACAAAGTCGGCCCTATATCTGAACAAAACATCCTTTCAGTAGCTTTCTAGCCTGAACATATTTCTAAACTGCGCTATATCTCTGCATTTAAGATAGATAAGATAGTATCTTCCATGGAAGAAATGCGAGGTATTCAGGGAGACCTTGGCTTTTGATGGTTTACCACACTGACTTTGGAAGAGACTGAACACTGGGTTCTTAGAAACCCTTATCAGATTGAGTTCACCACCCACATAGGGTGCTTGCTGGTGTTTATGTTGTGTGACTTTGCAGGCTTAAAGAGTGAAGCTGTAAGAGTTTTCCTTCAACACCATAAATAAGAGCGGCTATTTATGGTAAATGGGTGGGGGGGGGGTCCCTTCCATTTCATTATCTCTGAGAGTGTTTGTACAACGAAAGGATGTCGGAGGCTGGATCCATTCAGTGTAATTACATATCACCTCTGCCTGTTTCTCACCATTCTCCCTGGTAGCCTCTTCTAAAAGGATGGGAACATTGGAAGGAGAGGTGTCCAGTGAGTTAAATATAGACAAGAGTGATGTGTCATCTTGGTGCTCATATGTGATGCCACACAAGGCCAGCCGGTCGGCTGACTGATTGCGGCACCCGTGTGGATTTTTGCTGTGATCCACCCACATAAAAAAATTTCAAAACAATTTGCCAGCTCGGATGTTTGTTCCTACAACACTGTGTGAAGGCTGTTTCCGTCACTCCTTCCACATTCTTGCAGCCAACTACTTTGTAGTATTGCTTCTTCCTATGGCCATTTATGGCCTATAGATATGTCTGCCAATCAGAGCAGACTAGTGTAAAGCCTGTAGATGACAGAGAGGAAGGAATCAGTGCTGGCTTAGTTTTAGGTGGTGGCATAGGACTGAATTAAGGTCACTGCAGATTTATGAACCACTAGAGGGATCATTTAATTAAGTGAAATTAAACTTCATGCATACTAAAACAAATGTAGCCAAATGTAAACAAAAGAGACTACAAAGAGACTACTAGTTTTCCATCAACATGTTTTTGTTCCCGTCATGAGTACAACATTCATTGAAACTTGAATCCTGCTTTTCCTGGCTTTACCTTGCTGGTCAATGCAGACATGGAGAGAGCGTGGCAGCAGAGCAGAGCAGGCTGGGAACAAGCCGTCCTGTACTACACCACTGTACCAAATCCAGATAATGACACCCTGTTTCACCCCCCCTCTCAAGTAGTGTGTCCTCAGAGAGGCAATTTGTTTTGTAGCAGTAAGAACAGTAAGAACAAACAGATACCACAATATCCTCTGAAAATCACACAGATATCAAAAAGGAGAAGCAAAAACACAGAATACATTAGTACTCTATGTTTTAGTACCATTAAGATAAAGGTAATATTTATCAGCATGGTTGGGTAATCAACTGATATTACCTTTTACTATTGGAGCTTAGCAGTAAAATGGGTATGAAGTGGTATGAGTGTTTGTATATGTTAGTTTTGGCTAGTGAGTACTTGAAGTGCGACCGTGAAAGCAGGGTCTGAAACTCTAGGGGCAGGGAGTCGGTGCTGTCAGACAGGATAGATTCTGCTTTCTTTAACAACTGTTTGTCATATTAATCATATACGAGATGAGAACCTGTGATACTGCTACAGCCCTTGATCACCTTAGTTAGTGCATGTTTCAGTTTCAGATTGAGAGAAGCATACCAACGGATAAAAGAAAAAAGAAAAATCTTCTTGTCTTTGTTTTCACCTCGACACAGTGAGCATGGTGTTGTCGCTTAGTAGTTGAGCAGGACAAGGCTAATTTGAATTTCCATTAGCAAAGAAAGGGGATAAAAATTGAAATGGTAATCCATTTTTTTTCAAAGCACACTTAAAGTCAGAATTGTTTATAATCCCCCCTTTTTTGCCAGCAGTTAATCCAATTCCCTTTAAGCTTATGCCTCACTGTAAGCTATATATATCAGGCATAGTTGTTCACCCTAGTGTGTCAGGCTTATACCATGATTCGACAACAGCAGCAGCTTTCGTTCCATCTCAGCAGACGTCCAAGTCATGTAAATTGGAGGCAGCCAACACTTATCAACCTTGTTTATCTGCCACTGGCGAGACGATTTGCCTTGCATGGCTACCACAGGTCTTGATAACCTCTGTGACGAGCAGACTCGTGACAGGAGAGACCACAGGATGCGGATAAAAGGGACCGAAAGAGGGGGTAAAAAAACACATTCCAGATGCTCACACTGAGCGGTGGGACCAGATAACATGTTGGCTCTGGCGCTTTGATCGTGTACCTAACAGTTCCATTTCACTTCCACATGTCACTACTAAATTACACTGCTATAGTAGGTTTAACAGTAAAAGGTTGGTATGCCGATACTTTGCAGTTCCACCGCTTCGATCTCACAGCCTTCCGCATATTAGTCCCTTTTTTTTCAAAGATGTTAATAACACATTCCCCTGCTCATGGTTAGCTGTTGGGTGATCCTTGTTTGTTATGTTGTTTTAAAGTATTAATAGGTATTCCATGCCTCAGTGTTTAATCTATTCAACCTGATGTTTTTTTTTCTTCCCGCTTGTATGATGACTCTGTTTATGAATAATCAATACAACAGCCTTTTACCTGCTACAATAAATCGACAAGAATCGCTTATCATTTACCCTCCTCCTCTACTGCAACCTATTCATAATATAATAATACACACAGTTAATTATTTTCCCCACAGTGCCCAGGCAGTGGAAGCAATATTAGCCACTTCTTTATGAGGGGAGTTAAGTGAACAATGAGGGTTAAACACCTTTCAGTGTGTGCTTTTGGAATATTAAAAAGGCTCTGTCTTACCCATTAGAGTCCGGAGCCTGTTGTCCTTGGGTGGCATGTAAGGAGCATCCGTGAGGTGGAGTTGTTTTGGTTCAGTGGTATGTAAAATGGTAAATGATGATAGTCACAGCTCATTTGCGATCAACTTTGGATTGGTGTGGGTGCTCCCGTCCGGAAGTGTCAGTCAGTATGAAAGGGTTTTTCTCTTGATGCAAAGTACATAAGCTTGTCAGAATATATGGTCAGATTTTAGAACTTGCTCCTCTTACATGGCTTAACAAGATTCTGTATTCTGTTCAGCTACAGGCCTTGTGATAGACAGTATTTAAAGTAACAAGAACTCCAAGCAAAACAGGAAAACTACTGAATATCACTGAAATAGGTTTCACATTTTTCAAATGGTACGAATCTCTGCTGAGATTGAAGCCCCTTGTGTACAGTATTTCCATTCATCCTAACCAGTGGGCTATAAACTCAGTACTGTTGTTCCAGCCTTATGGTTGTATGAGCAGTCAAACATGAATAAGCCTGTGCTACATTTTCTCTGGCTGTGCTGAGGCTCCGCGAAGAAAGCCAAATTGCTTTCGCAGTCTCCAGTTCTGTTGTCTTCCCAGTGAGTGTAACCTATTCGCAGGCTTTGCTACAGGGCCTAAAACCATTTGTTCTGACCAACGTGACGACTTGTAAGCTTTTCTTGGCTCAGAAAAGCAGCTTAAGGGACTTGATCTTTGGTCTGGTGAGCCCAACTAAAGCATGCACATGTGCTAAGGCCCCCCGCCCCCACCAGCTTGACTTTGGCTTAGCAAACGACTGTGTCAGAGGACGAGGAAGTAATTGACAGGCTGATGGGATGAGCGGTGGGATAGGTCAAACATACCTGACTAAAGGAAGCCTTGAACAGCACGCAAGCCTGATCCAGACTCCCACCGTGTCAGTGTGTGCACAGTGAGCATTTCGGTCCTGTAATTAACACAGTGAGACGTGAGCCAGTGTCGGGGTGGGACCAGCCACCAGAACAGTGAGATGGTGACCAATTGTGGCTGTGGCAACAAGTCTGCCTCATCTACCGAGGAATTTGGCAGGTGCCCAGCTGTAATGAGGCGGCCATAGTTTTCATTTATTTTGTCTCATAAGATGGTAGAATTACCTTATTTAGGTGGTGTAATTTGCACGACAGGAAATCACCTACTCCTTACGTTCAAGACAGGATACTTGCATTTTCACTTGTGTGCACCTGGCTGCTGGCTTGCCAGGTTTCTAAGAGTAGAACGTTTTTGCAGATTGGCACTCTCAGTCACATATCTTTCAAGAGAGGCACTGGCTTTTTATGTCAAGAAATTGAAAAATCCATAAGCCTAAAGAGAAACAGTGTAGATCAAATAGACCAGGTTTTCTGACTTCCTAATGAGCCAAACTGGAGGGAAAGGCACAAGTGACAAAGGGGACGAAGCACTGCTAAAGGATGAAAGAAAGTAAGACTAAGCAGACCTTTTGCAATGTTAGCATCCTGTTAATATAAGCTGAGCACTTCTGTAGCTGCCACTTACAGCGAGAACCTCCCAGTAAAGAGAACTGAGGACTTTTTTTTAAACAATTAGCATATTCTATAGAGTAGCATCTCTCATTTATTATTATCTACAATAAACAAATCTTTTGTTATTTTCTGTAATTTCAGTATCAAAAGCTATAATCTCATATTAATAACAGCTGCTTGAGAAGTGCCTAGTGAGAACTTTGATGCAAGGACTGCAGACCTGTACAGTTCAGTGGACATATTCGTTTATTCGGATTCCCATTTGCTGCGACTAATGTGGCAGCTAC